ATCAAATTCATCCCACTGAGCATACATGTATGTGCAATGTGATTGCCAAGTTGAAGGGATTAGCCTACCCATCTGATCACAACAYRTCCTAGTTKACATCATAAAGTGACAGGGCAGCAGGGCCCAGCAGATTAGAGAAATTTCAGACTCCAATGCTTGGGGGCACATGGGCATAGTAACATCAAAATCCTGCAATAAGTGGTCACTTGCCAAAGTAGTGGAAACTCTCTGAACTCTAATATTTTAGTTTTTATTTCATGACACAACAAAAAGAACTGTTGTAGCTGACTGTGTTTAATAAGGGCATATCCACTAAATAATAAAAATATAATCAAATTGAATTCTTTATTACTCTTTAATTCAAAATCCTACAGACTTAGCCTCGTGGTTCAATTATAGGCCTATTATATCTTTGCTTTCCCTGATTATAAGTAATACCATGGCACTGAGGGGTATTAGGGATTAAATGTCCCCGAAGCCGAGGAGATTTAGTGGACTTTTACTAAATCTCTGAGGCTTAGGGGACATTTTATCACTAATATCCCAAAGATTCCATGRTATTCCTAACATTCCCTCAAGTCCCAATAATGATTCAGCACACAGAGTGCGGTGGTCGGTCCAAGCCAACGAATCACATTTTATTGGCAAAGCAAGTTCACAAATATCTTATTTAAATTTTTTCGAGAACTAGATCTAGTATTATAAGGCATACTACAGTAGAAACTAGAGAAATTTTAAACGATTGTAATGTACTAGAGTCTTGGACCACAATGATTGAGAAATACATTTCTCAATCACAACACTATCCTAATTAACATAAACACAATAGATAGCTAGGCCCAGGGCCTTTCGTCCATTAAGGAAATTATTTCTCTTCCAGAGAAATACATTTTCCTAACATTCCCTCAAGTCCCAATAATGATTCAGCACACAGAGTGCGGTGGTAGGTCCAAGCCAACGAATCACAATGGCGAAAGCATAGGATGGTAGCAGAAACGTGTTCAAAATCTAATGACATAATTACAACTGAGGTGAATAATAAGGATCACAGATCRAGAGATCTGGATACTGACAGAAGAGTGTCATTATTGTCCCGCAGATATCTGTCTYTTGCAGAGGCAGACCTCCATCCACCATGGGCAGAAATTAACCGATCCGGTATACCAGCTTGTGATGCTGCGGTTGATCCACCTGAGCRGAGGCTGTGTAGGCCATAGTTCTTGGAGTTCAACCCAATAGCTTCAAACATACTTAGGACCTTCAATCTGGCTGTCGAGTATTTGAGGCTCTCTGAAGTGACTCTTTCGCTAGTTCCTTGACCCTCCACTTCAAGAAATCAAACAAACTTCCTCCAAAAGACGCTGCTTTCGTAGCACTTCTTGATGTCCTCTGGTTGAATGGCCGGATGATGTTACTTTTGATGAGCCGCTCTCTTTGATTTTCTTTAATTTTGCATTCAAAGACATATTAGCCGTCTTATTGAAACAGGATCCGTGATTATCGAAAAAGTCTTTCCGACATTCTCTGATGTCAGGAAGCAGTTTATTGCAGCTCTAATAGAGATGTGAGCAGAGCGACTGTAGTCTTTCCCTTCGTTTTTCAATTCTTGATAGAACTTTGAGAGTCGTTCAGCTAGTTTTTCTTTTTCCAACATTTCTAATTCTTCACTTGGGTACCTTCTAAATTAAAAATTAGATAAAAACAGACATTTAACAATAGTTTCAAACAAAATAGTTCATTATTTCAGTTCAGAATTGACATTTTAGTTTGACAAAGCTACAAACACAGTCAAATACAATGTGTTTTAAAATAAACAACAGTAAAGTTAGCATAAAAAATAATATTATTTGAATTTTATATCTCTAGTGTTACCTTTAAAAACACCAACACCCCATGTTGTCTGTCACTTTGTATTAGCTGGTATAGAGTCGTCTATAATCTTTGAAATGTCATCTTCTTCAACACTTGCAAACCTATCAGAGTCGGTCATTTTGATGACAGCTGTTGTGTGATAGCATGATGTATTCTCATTAGTGCACGGTCACTAGGTGATGACGTGACGTATCGCACAATCACGTGATTGATTTAAGCCAATTGTGCGCATGGATTTAGTACATTGAATGAAGATTGAATAAAATATATCATTGCCAATAGTAATATTATTGCATATATTTTACTCTCCCCACTTTTGTTAATTAAATGTTAATTAACTTTATTTTTAATCCAGGTAGATGAGAGCAATGTTGAGGTGCTAAATATCATGTCATCTCCAGAGTCCATGAGCCAAAGCAGCTCTATTGATAGTTACAGATATCCAAAATCTGGTATGTTTTGAGTCATGTGATTTTATCTAGATTTGCCTGAATATATTAAAACATTTTCTCATGCGCTGTYGGCCATTGAGCTAAAACATAAATTCTTGAACGCATCTTGAAGCGAAATTTGTAATTTTTTTTGACTTGGTTAAAATGTATCAATCCAACTGAAACTTTGCAATAACGTTGTCCATATAGCGATGAAACAACTCAGTTAAGAGAAAAAATAAATCTGCCTCATTTTTGAATTAATTGGAAAATCGCTAAAACTACACTTTTTCAGAGTTGCTGCATACACTACGGTGTACAGAAAGAAATCACATCTTCGAAACTGCCAAGTGAAATAACTTTATACATGTTCTTGTACAGCATTATCTTATAAGCCAAGCAAGTCTTTTGCTGTAAAGCTGAGCATCAGACATTGGCATTTTATCATGAATATGGGCCAATTGTGAGYGTGTTTGTAAAAGCACAAAAACGAAACACATTCATGTCTTGTTTGGTACCTATTTCGCATGATTTCTTTCTAAAAAAAAAACAAACAAAGAAAAAACAAGCCATAGTTATGGACTACCTTGGTTTGCACTGACAAAGCCAGTAAATTTGCTTATTGCATGAGTATACTCTTGACTTTAACTGTTGGCTTATTTTCTCTGTGACTGCTGCATAATTATAATTATTTTCATTGTAACACTCTTAATGTTTACCAGATTTTTTGCAGCCACCTCTGATTGGTCTCAGGCTGCTTAAAAAAATTTTAGGACTTCTTTTTTGAACACTATGTGAAAACTTTCCTGATATTTAGTAAGCTTAATTGTAATTACTAGAAATTTTATGTGACAAACAATGAAAATAATCTTGCTCCTTGAAAAACAATTTTCTTTGCAACAGCATTAGYGGTTTCTACATTCAATATACATGTAATAGCAAAAGATGAAAATATGTAAAAATTTGCTCAAACATGTTTTCTCTCTCCCCAACCTGGTTTAATGCACTCTGCTCAACGATTTGTGGGAAATATCCACCRAGAGATGCATTTGCAATTGCACAGTTTACAATATCAGTGACCAAGAACCTGTTGGTGCACTTTTTGAAGTATATGCCATTTTTTTGGTGCGTTGYAGCCACCTCTGATTGGTCTCAGGCTGCTTAAAAATAATAGACGTGTTCTGACATACATAGCATTAAAAGTATGGATGCCAAAAAACTTTGTTTACACTCGTATGTTTTTTTTACTCTTTAAGGCTCCGTGAATGCAACATCAAGGATGAAGATTGTAGAGTTTTCTCTTGATCATGCAGGAAGAGTAAGAAGAAAGGAATATGTAACATGATAATTATTGTCGTTTATTAATAGATTATTTCTTATATGCCTGGGTTCTTGAAACATATTGCAGGTGCATGTATTACAAGACATTTTCAGGCAATCACAAGAAAGCATGCCATTATCAATTTATTTCCATTTTTATCACCATGGTCATAATCATGATGATTGTCATAATGTGACAGCATTGGGTTAAATGTGTTAAAGGGTCCCAAAGCAACATRAAAAACTTTTGTGGCAACTTTCCACCCCGGTAGGGGTTTAAAGTTGCCCAGGTCAAATTCAGCATGAAAACGARGCTGCAATACAAACCTTGTTATAACTTTATCATTTTAGTCCCAAATAGGATGAAAATCACTCAAATTATTTCTATCTGCTGTGCTCCATGTTCATTTGACGTTGCTATGTAAAGGAAGCGCCTAGCTGGCAGCACGCCTATGTGTAAGTGTATGTAAAATGTGTCTGTAATATAGCACTTCGACTTGAGAGCACRTCAAGCTGCATCTTTCGCATGCTGCCATGCATGAAGGACTATTACCACCCAACACCTAAATCATTGCAACTCATTTTAAAAGCAATACAAACTTAGCCAGGTGTTTCTGTTAGTTGCTCAGTTAGAACAGGATTATGGCAGAAAGAATTAGCAAATTGTGTTTTGGACAGTTGCCCTACTTT